CCACGGCTTTGCCTTCTAAGGTGGCTTACTGCCGATGCAAAGATGCTGCCAAGTTCTTGTGGTCGTTTGGATGCCTGGACTATGAACCTCCAAATGAGGAAGAGTTTTACTCCAGCCTGATAGAGCAGATGCATAGAAAACTCCATGAATTTAGGAAGTTTCCAGAGCATCTCCTTACTGGTTTGCTTGGCCTGGCATTTGTCAAACGTTACCCAGAGGAGCTGATAGACTATGCTCTGAGGCATGAGTTTGTCCAGAAAACGAGAGGTAGTAAATATGAGCTCAAAAAGGACCTGTTCACCCTTGGTAAGAGTGTTGAAATTGAGTGCCCAAGCTACCAAGGCAGCCGCCTTCCACCTCAGCTTTATCAAGAGATTACCGAGATGGTTTTGAATTTTGCAGAGCAGGAAATCTATGTCAGGCCTGAAATAGTGGAAGCCACCTCTCTTCTCGAGAGCATGTTAGGTGGCCCCGAGTATGTGAAGAACCACATGATCCTGCCTCACACGAGATCGAGTGATCTGGAGGTTCACCTGGCCATGGATGGACGCCCCATCCCTTTCAACGTAAAAGACCTTGCTGCAGATAAGAAACTAAGAGACATCGGAGTTAGTCTAACGGATGACCTAATGACTCAGCTTATAAAAGGGAGATCTAACAGCCAGTCTCCCATGGAAGTGGGAAATGAAGCCAGGACTCCTGGTCAGGATAGAGGGGGAGAAGCACAAACACCATGTGCGGGGGATCGTGCTGCACTTTCAGGTGGAGCTCTCATTGCAGATACCAGAGTGCAAGCTGAGCCTAAATCAGGGCTCGTTCTTAAACCCCCTCCATCTCTTACACTGAATCGGCAGCCTCGGGGGGTGAAACTGGCTATTCAGGTGTCCAACCGAAACCACTACTGCTACTGCTCCAAGCGGCTCTTGGGGCTGCACCGTCTGAAACGGCGGCAGCTGCAGCAGCTGGGGTATGTGGTGGTTGAGTTTCCCTTTTGGGAATGGTTTCCTCTGCTCAAACGCACTCGTTTGGAGAAACTGAGCTACCTCCATTACAAAGTGTTCGACCCAGCGCTGCTCAGCAAGGCTGGCTAGTCTGGTGTGCTGCTGGCTCAGAGGCTGACGCAGCCTCCCAGATGCATCTCTCTTTCTGATTACTGATTAAAATGGTCTCGGAGTGTCCGTTAAGTTTTTGGCAGGTGCTTTGTGTGCTCAGGTCTGCCTTGCTAAGTTAGCCAGTTCTGCTTTGCTGACAGTCATGTGTCCCGCGCTTGCCTTTTGTACATAGATCCTCAAATGCTTCCATGACAAAATAAAAACTACTGTCCTATTTGTTTTCCTCCGTGATCGCTTTTTTCTCTAAATGAAAGTGGATGGATTTGGTGACTCTGAGAGCAGAACGGTATCAATGCTATTGTGATATTTGGTACAGAATTGGGGTGATTGTTTTTTAGTCATGAAGCCAACCTGGGTGCCAGGAACACACATACATATTTCCTTACAGTTTCCATCACCGTCGAGCTGGGGCTGGTGGATGTGCAGGCAGAATTTCTGCTTTAGGAGCTGTGACTGAGCAGGACAGACCGTGAGAGCTGAGCGGTGAGATGGAAGCTGGGGCTGAGGGTTGGGGTGCTCTCACCCTGAGAGATTAATTTCTTGCTCAGCAATCAGCATTGCCTGGCAGAGAGGTCCTGATGACCCGGTTGATAACGTCTGCTGTGAAACGGGGCCCACAAATCCACCTCGAGGCAATTCCCCTGCCTGAGTGACGATGAATCCTGTGCAAACCAGAGCGCAAACTCTAGCTGTGTGGAGCATCTGCTCTGGAGGCAGCTGGTTTCACCCTCCGTCGCGTGGCTCCGTGGGTTTTTTTCTCGCTCAGGATGGGGCCCGGTGTCCCAATTTCCACGCGCTGTTCTGAGGACAGAGTTGCTGGCTTCTTCTTGAGCTTTCAGGTGGTGGTTCTCTCTGAGAGGATGTTTCCTGAGGTGCGTGGGGCAGGCTCTGCATCTGGCCAGAGCTGCAGGGATTATTTCACATGGAGCAGCAGGAGAAACTCCCATTCCCACGGCAAAGGCAGCCGAGCTGTTCTGGCTGTTTTGCAGTGTGGCTTTTCAAGGCGTACTGACGTGGAGGATGGGGAAGAGAGGTGGCAGTAAGCAGGTTGCTGTCCCAAGACAGATGCTGTATATGAGCTTTTTTTGCCTGCCTGGTTTAAAATGTCTGGGTTGTTTTTTTTTTCTCTCCCTCAAATACTCAGCGTTACGGAGCACTTTCATTTGTTCTCCACGTTCCTTACTGCAGCAGCTCCCTAGTCGTACGTAGGGCACCAGGAAGGCACTTGGTGATATAGCTCCAGAAAGCCTGGTTTTAAATGACCTGTCAAAGACCATAGAGGATCTTGCTGGCATAGAGAAGTACAGGGTACAGTCCTTCAGGTCTGCATTTCACTGCCTCAGTCGAAAGATCTTCATTCACCTTAGGGAAGGCACACACCCGAGAGAGGGGACAGTTGTGTGACATCCTGATGGCGCTTCATAGGCTTTGAGTCCTTTGTGGTCTTTGAGTCGTTTGTTTTGACGAGCAATGGCTTTAGTAATGCAGTTTTGTGGGTGTCTTATTTTTAAAGTGTTTGTAAATGCAGAACCTCCTCCGTGCTGCGGCCACCTGGGTCATCGCTAGCACAGGAGACCTCCACGCAAGTTTGGGGCGTAATGGCAGCAGCAGCCATGGGAAACAACATCCACTGCCCCATCCTGTTCTTTTCCCAGAGTTTTTTTACAGTCTGCATTTACCCAGCTCTTGCTTCAGCCCATGCTCTTTGCCAGAGGGGTCCTGGCCTCACTGTCCCCATCTGATCCTGGCTCCTCGGATCTGTTCTCTCACCTGCATTTGCCTGTCCCTGCTGATTCCCTGGCCTCAGCCGGGCCCTTTACCTTCCCATCACTGCGTGTCCAGCCCCTTCTTGCTTCCCTTCTTTACACAGAAGCTTAGTCCTAATCTCATTCCATGTAACCTGTCCCTTCATCTTCACTGTCTTCTGAGTTGCATTTTCGTGGGAAGAGTAAAAAGAAAAAAACCACAGCCCTGGCTAAAATCAACTCAGTGGCCAACTTTTGCTGTGAAGCAAGAGTGTAGCAGAGCTTTTCAGAAGAAGGGAGAGCAGTGACTTGGACATGCAAAATAATGCATTTTCCTACTGGGATGCTGAACCTGGAAAAGTTAGTCCGAGTTGTTTAAGTCTGTCAGGATCACAAACGGGTAGGGGAGGATCCTATAAAATACACCTGTATATACATACATAGCTCCTCACGCTGCAGAACAAGGAGAGAATAAATTGATTGTAATTAAGCAGAGCTAATTGCCACAGAATATTAAGGGTCTGGTAGAAAAGGGTAGATTTAGGATGCAACCTCAGTAACAGCCTTAGGCTTGGAAGAAGACGTGAGGCTGCCCTGAGGAATGGCTTGTGACCATCCATGATTTGCCTGGCATGAGGCAGCGCTGCGGAAGAGGAGGTCACACATGGCAAGCTCCATGGGAGGACTTGGTGTTGGCCGTAGGCTGGATCTCAGTAGGCAGTGGCTCATGAGAAGTGAGTTCTTAAAGCCATGGGTTTGCAGGGATGCAGAGGTGAAGGTGCTTCTTCTCACTCGCCTTCTTTCGGGGAAGGTCTCACCGAGGCTTGCCTAATGCGAATTCACCAGTCTGGTCAGGTGGGAAGAGATATGGAGAAGTCTTCAGCCCAGGAAAAAAAAAAAGAAAAAAGAGATGTGAGGAGAAATAGAAGAGAGGGCAAATCTTGAGTTATTCCAAGAAAGTGATCGAAGAGAGTTGATTTGCCATTTTTTGTAGGACCAGCGATAGGTTCAAAATGAACCAAAAGCTGTAGGTTTGTCGCACAGCCTGTAGTTAACCCGGCAATCTTAGTCCCACCAGATGTGGGTGCCAAAGGCAGGACAAGTTCGAAAGCCTGTTTGAACAGTTGTTGGAAGCCTGTCAGGCTCAGAAAGCCAGGAAACTAGAATCATAGAATCACAGAATGTTTTGGGTTGGAAGGGACCCCTAGAGGTCACCCAGCCCAACCCCCCTGCAGGAGCAGGGACACCTTTAACCACATCAGGTTGCTCACAGCCCCGTCCAGCCTGGCCTGGAATGTTCCCAGGGATGGGGCCTCCACTACCTCAAGCACTTCATCTTCACGTGAGCTGCAGATCCCATGCACCCAGACATGGGTTCCCTTAGCACTCACACATCAATGACTAATATTGGTGGAGCATTTGTTTGTGCTTGCCCTGTTCCTGTGTTCCCTGTTGAGGAGCCGGAATTGTTCCTGGTGGCTGTTGGACCAAATATTGGGCTAGACGGGGTGCTCCTCTGGCCCGCTCCGGCTCTTCTTAGGTTCACACCTGCTTCGGTCAAGCATTGGCATCACAGTCTTCAAGCTCTGCTCTCTGCAGGCTTGGCTTCTATGGTGTTGAATTTTATATGTTGGATTTTTACCTCGGATACCACATTTCTGTTGCGCTCGATCGCACGCGGACCGGACTGCTCCCGCATGCTCAGCAGGCAGGCAAACCCAGCTCGTTAACGCTCTGCGTTTCAGCGGCCGGACCGACGTGCCCCCAGAAGGCCAATTTCATTTTGGCTGAACTAACAGCTTCAGCTGAAAATCATTAAAGGGCTGCTTGTTCTTGAAGGAAGCAGTGGGTTCCTGATTTGCAGGGTCGCCCAAGGCAATGACATATTAAAACTAAGGTTAACGTAAGGTTAGAGCTCTTAACTCGCAGATAATTTCATTCTTAAAAGGGATCTGATATAACCAATTTGAGTCTCATTTTTTTGAATGGAAAAGATGGTGCATTCACTTGAGTGTCTTTAATGAACATCGTCAGAAGAATCAGGTGGGTCGGCGTTCAGAACACAGATAATCTCCCTTAGAGCTATTAAATGCCCTCTGCTCCCTTGGAGCTATTAAATACCGATTATTAATATTTGTGTTTAAACTTAGCTTACATCTGAAGCTCCCGAAGCCCTCGAGAAACATTTCTCTTTGCAGTAGCGCTGCGTTAGTGCTGGCCGATGTTACCCTCATCCCGAGAGGCCCCGTCTGAGCTTTGCTGTGTTGGGTGTCGTCCAAGAGCGCGGGCAGGTCCTGCCTCAAACTGCTGAAGGCAGCAGATAGAGGTGGCGTGCGGGGGGAACCGGGGGGCAAACCACACAGTTCAAGGCCAGGCGGTGGGAACGGACACCGGCTCTTTCCGCCTCGCAGCGCTGAGGGGCTGCGGTGCTGAATGTCCCGGTCGGATCACAGCGCAGCCCGTGTCCTCCAGGACCGACGGAGGCTGCGGGAGAGCTCACACCAATTCCTCTGACAACCTCATGTGATATTCTGGTGCTTTGCTGTAGCTACAAAACCTCCTGCATCTTTGATAACTTTAAGATCTAGTTGCTAGTCTATCCATAGGTAAGACGTTTTAAGTTAAAATAGCCATTTTCTCTAGGGGTTCACTAATAAATATTAATGCAGTTTTTTCTCTCGATCCCGTCTCTCCCCCGCCCCGGTCATCTGGGTTTATATTGGCTTCACCTCCTGGACTCAAATTTGAGCTGCATTTTAGGAACTACTGAGCTTGTAATTCATACAGGTTCCGACACAAGAGATCCTTTCGCTGTTTGCTGATGTTCACTTTATTTTGCCTTTTCTTTTTTACAAGCTGAATCTGATGCTCAGAAAGTGAGCTCTCTCCAGCTGCCAAGATGGTAATAAACGTCTGTCTCCCACAGTTCAAGCCAAGAATTCACTGCAACAAGGTAAAATAACGATGTGGGGGGGTTAGGGAGCTGGAGGGATGGAGGGGTTAGGTGGAAGGGGCATGCTGGACTGGTTGGGGCTGGGGAGGGCTTGTTCGCTGCTCATCTGTGATAATTAGCAGTGTTTCTGGAAGGCTGATTTTTGGCTGGCCATGCCAGGCTACACTGAGAAAACAAAGCAAAGGCAACTCGCAGCAAACTCCCATCATTTTGTATGGTCTGGCTGGTTCAGAGAGGGATTTTAACACGGGAGGCTGTGTATGTCCAGTGGCAACAGAAGCTTTGAGGACAGATGCCGTCCCAACCGAGGTAAGGTGTAGGCTCTTCAGTCTGCAGAGCTGAGAGCATTTTTGTCAATTAAAATCATTTTCCAGTGATGTGGGTGGGTTGTGAATTGGGTGGGTTTGCTCACAGCTTTCTCTTCCAAGCTCACCAGTCTCTTGTCATTCCCAGCAAGGAGGTTTTCTGAACTGATGCTGGGGAATCTGTCCTCCTGGATCCCCTTCCCCTTTTGTGCTTAAGCGACTCATTGATGTGCGAGCACTAAAGGAACCCATGTCTGGGTGCATGGGATCTGCAGCTCACCTGAAGATAAAGCGGAGCTGAAGGCTCAGTACTTTGCAAAATCGGTATTGAGAGATTTCCCAGAAGTTACTGTTCAAAATTTGGTTTGTCCTGTCTATGCTGTGGTCAGCCTCTGCTAGTTATAACCTCCTATGACTGCTCTAATGTGGCACGCGCTAATTGTTGCAAGGAAGAAGCCCTGATTTTGAAGGATCTCGTCACAAGACAATGTTACGTGCTTATGGGTGTGCGTGATTTGACTTGAGATACCTTTTTCCCTGTAGTATTAGAGCTTTCTCTTTGTCCAGTAGAATACTCAGCTCTTGACAACGTTTGCTGAATTTACTGTACTCTGCAAGTACTGCAAGTTAGGACAAGAGGAAACAGCCTCAAGTTGTGCCAGGGCAGGGTGAGGTTGGCCATGGGGAACAATTCCTTCCCCAAAGAGCTGTCAGGCACTGGAAGGGGCTGCCCAGGGAAGAAGTCGAGTCCCCATCCCTGGGGGGATTTAACAGCCGGGCAGAGGCAGTGCTGAGGGCCAGGGTTTAGTGGTGGGATGGCAGGGGTAGGGGAACAGACCTGATGATCTTAAAGGTCTTTTCCAACCTAAACGATTCCGTGATTCTGCTGAAGTTTTCACCCGGCATCATCAGAATCTCGTAGACACTAACTAGCTTTAATTCAAAGCCATTTAATTGTAAGTCTTCCTGCCAACTCACACCCCAAAATCCAAGACAGCCTTGGATTTGTAAACATTGTGCTGTACAAATAGCAGTATGAGTGTGACTGCCCATCCGGTGGTGTGCTGAGAGCCCCAGCCACCCACTGCGGTTTGGTGGAATTGTCATCAGGAGGGTATAGAGTGACCATATTAAGCAGGTGGAATAAAGAGATATTCCTTGCTGTTACCCGTTCATTTAGCAAGTGCTACAGACTTCTTAGGCCCCAGGGCTTCCAGGAGAGGGAATGGTTAGAGCCAGCCTGTCCAGGAGCAGACCAGAGGGGGGGGATTGCATCTTCTAGGGGGCATGGCTTGGGACCCAGCCCAGTCAGACGGATCTCCCTCAGGGATGAGTAGGGTTGATCCCAGAGCAGGAGAAGGCAGTGGGCTGCCTGACCTCCGGAGGTTTCTCTGGAATCCTTTAACTGGGTGATTCGGGGTATGTTTCCACATGGCAGGATGGGCTGACATAACGTTTCACCACGTAGAGACTCCCATCTCCACCACGCACACATGCTCTGCTCCCAGCCACGCTCTCCCACTTGATGTAGTTCACCGACCCAGGCAGAACCGCAAACCATCCATACTTTTCCACTCCTTTAGCAGTTAAATCAGTTCTGCAAATGGCGCAGGGGAGAGTGGATGGGACCACGTAGCTGGAGGAGGGTGGGAGCGGGTCTGCTCTGCCTCAGCAGCAGGGATCTTCTGTGTTGGCTCAGCTGCACGTGAAACCGCAGCCTTGGTTCCTGGTTGATGGCATCTTGGGAATCTACATAAGTGCTTGTGAAAATAGTTTCCTTTTATTGTCTTGCTTCAAATTAAATCCAGTTTTCTCCTGAAACACAGATTTCTGCTGATGGTTACGAAGTGGAGAATCTGATCTCTGAAGACCTTGCCAGGAGAAATCGTGGTTTCCGCAGCGAATACTTTATCAAACCTCCTGTCCACGTCACGATCTCTTTTCCCTTCAACGTCGAGCTCTGCAGGATCAATATTGACATCTCATCTGGGGGATACCAAACCTTCTCCGGGCTCGAAGTTTACACCTCTACCTCATGCAATAAAACCTCTTGGCAGAGCCCTGAGGGTCAGGTCTCAGGTCTGGCCGGTCAGCCTGTGTCGGACAAAGACACTTTCACACTGGTGGGCAAAGCTGTCTTAAAAAATCAAAGCAAAGTGACGTTCGGCCACAGAGGCTTCAAGCCGAGGCCTCCCTTCCATCAGATGGAAAACGTCTTCTCCTACCCCGGCTCTGCATCTCAAGACCTCTGGAACAAAGGGCCTGCCTCGCTGAGCAACGTGTCGCACTTGAAAATCTGCATCACCCACGTGGCCGGAGGCGGCCTGCCTTGCATTAAGAGGCTGGAGGTGTGGGGACAGCCTGCCAAATCGTGCCCGCAGGAGGTGATTGAGGGTGTCTTTCAAGTGGCCTCCCAGTTCTTCGCCCAGGATGTCAGCAGCCTCAAGCCAGAGCTCTGGACGCCAATGGAGAGCGACTGCGTGCCCTTCAGCACCAACGACAGCGAGCAGCAGACCCTCTGCAAGCTGGTGGACGTCGTCCAAGACATCCCCGAAGAATTCCTGGACCCCATCACTCTGGAGATCATGACCTTCCCCATGCTCCTGCCCTCCGGGAAGGTGATCGACCAGACCACCTTGGAAAAATGCAACCGGAGTGAGGCGTCTTGGGGCAGGGTCCCCAGCGATCCTTTCACTGGGGTGGCCTTCAGCCAGCACTCACAGCCCCTACCTCACCCTACCCTCAAGGCCAGGATAGACCACTTCCTCCTACAGCACAGCATCCCTGGCACCAACCTGCTCGGGAGAGCTCATGCCTCGGAAATGCTCGTACCTTCTTCCATAACAATGTCTTCTCTGAAAAGGAAAATAGACTGTATGGATCAGAGCTCCGTGCAGCCACCGTATTTTTCTTCTACAAACTTACTTGTCACGTCTACCTCAGAGAACAGTGCTAAAAAAATGAAAACTGACAGTGACTCTCATTTGATCCAAATGGACTGTTCGACAGGTACCGTGGCTCCCTAAGTCACTTGTGTTTCTTGAGTGTCCTGACAGCCCCGGGCCAGGTTTTCAAGTCGGGAGGCTCCAGTACAGATTCCCATCCCTCTGGAAAGCTTTAAGGCCGTTGTATTTTGCTGTTGATAGGTGTCGTGGGAGTCAGGTCATCACCTCCTTCACCTCCCCTCTCCTCAGCACCACCTGCCATCCCGGATGGTTGTTTGCTCCCATTCCATTTCACTTTTCCTCACCTCTAGGCCCGTCGTTCTCGTCGTGTTACCTGTGCAGTCTGTTTCACAGCCCTCTCATTTGCTCAGGTCGCCGTGTTTCCCTTTTAGTTTGTTTTTCCTTTCTCCTCCTTGTTTTCAAGCCACTGTCCATGTGGAGGCAACGTTTTTCTCGCAGTGTGCTGGTTTGAAGTTTCTTTATCATGGGTGATTTGTTATCCCAGCCATCCAATATGTTCTTGCATCAGGAAGAAAACATGCAACGACAGGAAAAAAAATGTCTGGTGGGGCAGTGATGATGGCACAGGGAGTCCTGGCTGGTGTGGATCTTAGCACGAGGAGTGAGGTGGGGAGGAAAGTGGGAATGGGGCACTAATCCTGCTCACGGATTTCCCTGGCCAGGCACTGCCAGTCTGGGCTCTTGGTGCAGCTGGTTCCCCACACGCTCGGTGTCACCAAACAGATTGTGTCCCCAGGACAGGCTGGCTCCTGGCCTTCTGACGGGGCTGCTCTTGCTGTGGCAGAGGCTGAGCTTGGGGAGCGCATCGCTGCACAGCCTCCGGTCCTCGCCAATCTTAGTGCAGCAGCGCAAGGGCTTGGAACAAACGGCAGCCAGGGAATTGCAGGCAGTGCTGCCTTCGGAGAGAGGACGGCACAGGCTGGGAGAGACTTGCCCAGGGTTTGCAGGTAGTTAAAGCAGAAAACCAGGTGGGGACATTAGCCACAGGGTGTGACTTGTGTCTACAGGGGAAGGAATGGGCGCTGGTTTCCTTTCATCCTTGCTTTTCTCAGAGATCTGGTAGCAGCACCGGTAGCATAAGCTCCAGGAGGCAGAGAAAGCAGCCCAGACCTGCAGCCCTGAGATAAATTCCCTGGAAAGCCGAGTGCTTTCCCCCACTTCGGTCCCCAGCCGTGCCACAGCTCCTCAGCAGGCAGCCGAGGCAGTGCTGCGGCAGATCCGCCGGGCGCCGGGCGTGGGGGCGCGGGGTCCGGCA